TGTCTCAATGTGGTTTTGATTTGAATTTCCCTGATGGCTAATGATGATGAACATTTTTTCATGTGTCTGTTAGCCATTTGTATGTCTTCTTTTGAGAAGTGTCTGTTCATGTATCCTGCCCGTTTTTTGACTTATTTGTTTTTTGGGTGTTGAGTTTGAGAAGTTCTTTATAGATACTGGATACCAGCCCTTTATCTGTAGTGTCATTTGCAAATATCTTCTTCTATTCTGTGAGTTGCCTCTTTGTTTTGCTATTTCCTTTGCTGTGCAGAAGCTTTTTATCTTGATTAAGTCCCAAAAGTTCATTTTCCCTTTTGTTTCACTAGCCTTTGGAGATGTATCTTGAAAGAAGTTGCTGTGGCTGATGTCAAAGAGGTTACTGCCTATGTTCTCCTCTAGGATTTTGATGGATTCCTGTCTCACGTTGAGGTCCTTCATCCATTTTGAGTTTATCTTTGTGTATGGTGCTAGAGAATGGTCGAGTTTCATTCTTCTGTATACAGCTGTCCAATTTTCCCAGCACCATTTATTGAAGAGACTGTCTTTTTTCCATTGCATATTTTTCCTGCTTTGTCAAAGATTATTTGACCATGGAGTTGAGGGTCCATATCTAGGTTCTCTATTCTCTATTAATAAAAGAATAAAGTCATCTGCCCATGACAACCCTGAAACTCTGAGAAGTCTCTCTCAAGATCTCTACAAATCCCTGTATCCTTCCCCAATTGCTCACTTTCCTTCAAATACCAGCATTTAAAAACAAAGATACCGATTTTTTTTTTAAGATTTTATTTATTTGACAGAGAGAGCGAGAGAGGGAACACAAGCAGGGGGAGTGGGAGAGGAAGAAGCACGCTTCCTGTCGAGCAGGGAGCCCAATGCGAGGCTCATCCCAGGACCCTGGGATCACGACCTGAGCCCAAGGCAGACACTTAACGAGTGAGCCACCCACGCGCCCCAAAACAAAGATACCATTTTATATTTAGTTTTATTGGCTTAATCTTCCAAACATAATAATGCTTCTCATTTAAAACAATTTTCGGGTATTTCAAATTTAGGCTTTTGGGGGGTTGGTCTTTTAATCTAATATTCCATTTCAAACCCCTTTTCAATGGAAAAATGTATTCAAAGCACTATCCAATTAATTAGTAAATGTTTCTACATATAAAAGTCCTCACACTAAAAACATTCTAAAAACGTACACCTCCTGCAATTTAAGACTAAATGTGAAACTTCTTTTAGAGCATCAGAAGTAATATTTTGTGGAAAATCATAAGGTGACTACCATGGATATGTCTTCTTTAAGAGGGCAAAGAACAAAAAAGTTTCAGAATTTTTGTAGCCTTGTAGAAAAGTCTGGGCTTGCCATGCTGAAGAGGAATAATAATCACATATTAAACCTAAAGTTGAACAATTCATAAATATACTCAAACTGGCAATCTATTAAGGGAAAATCAAGTTTATACAGTTTATACAGTTCATGTTGCAAAGCAAAACATAAGCCTTACCTTAACACAACCTTCCAATGCACTCAACTTAAACACTGCCTGAAAAGGTTTTCGGTCAACAGGACATGAAGCCAGTATCTGAAAAATGATTAGCAAATTATAACTTTACAAATGTTTCTTTAGAATAGATCAAGATTAAAACTATAACAAATGCATTTATAATAAGTTTTCCACTGGAAAAGGAAATAGAAAAATAATTTCTGTTTTCAAAGATAAAATAATTTCCACCTGTACCATGTCAGAGTAATAAATGTCTTAAATTTGTTCAATTCATTCAGACATTTATTAGGCACCTACTGTATGCTAGATAAGTGCACTGCAACAATCAACGAGAGATAAAATCTCTACTATCAAGATATCAAGATAATACCATTTAGACCTGCTTGCCCAGCTGAGAACTACCGGTATATTGAAAGGAGAACTACACTGAAATCAACAGCTCTATGACCTAAAGCACTTGGGCAACTGTAAATCAGCTGTAGAAGGAATGGTTTGGACAGGTCCAATACAGATTTTGATATTCTATGACTTAATATTTCTCCCCAAATCAATTCTTTTGAATAAACAGTTAGACCAGCAATAACTTCTCCAGAAGTAGTTTCCTATATATCCTTTAGGGGATAGCCAACACATATACATATATATGGTGTATCTTTTAATATATAGATAATATTAATTCACATGCTGAACTGAATTTTTTTTCTTAATTATCTTAAATTAGTTTATATTACTATTTCTGAATGGTCCCATTCTCAATTAATAGCATGGTATGCTTAAGAGTTTAAATTTACATTTCCTTTTATATAAGTAAGACTGGGCATATTTTCATATTAAAGAGCTTTTCAAAGTTCCTTTTTTTAAAAATTCTTTATTCATGCCCTTAGCCTTTTTTATTAGGTTGCTGGCCTTGAATTGTACGTGTTCTTTATAGATTAAGGAAAATTGTCTTTTGATCGCTCTGATTCTAAATGAACTTTACTTTGATAAAATTATTTCCTATATTTTCAAAATAAATACGCATCAATTATAGGAGTTTCTGTGATTATAGTATTTAAATATTTGTATAGGAACAGGTTTATATTATTTAAATAATTTAATATGGAGTATGCTGCCCATTAGAGAAGGAGGGAAGATTCTGTACCATATAAAAATACCAAAAGGTGGTTAGTACTTATGGTTATAAAAGTAAAACAGGATTTTAACAATGTAATAGCAACAGTCCCACAGGATAGTAATGGAATTTGATAAATTATCTTATATTCTCTAGTGGAAAATGTTGTCATTTTTGCCTCTCTGGACTTTGGAACATATCAAGATACGCTTATACAAGCACAGGTAGATCAGACTATATGAGCCTTTGATCATAGAATACATTTTCACAAAGCCTGTGAATCACTTTGAGAGCAGCCAAAATATAAATTGAGTTACTTTTTACTACTCTAAAAAGTATTTTTTCGGGGCACCTGGGTGGCTCAGTCGGTTAAGTGACTGCCTTCAGCTCAGGTCATGATCCCGGAGTCCTGGTATCGAGTCCCACATCAGGCTCCCCCTTCTCTGTAGGGAGCCTGTTTCTTCCTCTGCCTCTGCCTGCCACTCCCCCTGCTTGTGCTCACTCACTCTCTTTCTCTCTGTGTCAAATAAATAAATAGAGTCTTAAAAAAAAAAAAAAGTAGTTTTTCTTTTCCTGTTATAAGTAGGCCTTGATAAAATGCTTTACCCACATCTGAATTAGGAAATGTGACCTTACTGCATTAAATCAGGTCAGACTGGTAGAAGCCAGCTCAGCTTACTTCCAAGTACTATGGATTTAGGATGCTATTACTTTCCTTACAGAAAACCTGACCTTAAGAAGCTTTGCAACAAGTAGTGACAAAGCTGTCCATGTCTTTTTTAATAATGCACTGCAAACAGCAATTCTAGTTCAAGGAATTCAACTATGTGATTTTTGTTTACCATATTAGCATTTACTATATGAAATTTCTTAAACTAAAAGTTGTATTAATATATTTATAATTCAAAATAATATTTAAAAGTAAAAATTTTCAGGGCGCCTGGGTGGCTCAGTTGGCTAAGCACCCGACTCAGGTCAGGACCTCAGGGTTGTGGGGTCAAACCCTGTGTCAGGCTTCACACTGGGTGTTGAGCCTGCTTAAGATTTTCTCTCCCTCCCGCCCCTCCCTCTCTCTGACTCTCTCTCTAGTTAAAAAAAAATTTTTTTTGATTTAAAAAAAATAACTTTCAAGTTCCTATAAATAACTAGTTTCAGAATATACTTATTTCTATTTTAAAGATAAATTCAGATAAACATTCAAAAGGTAAAACAATGACAGATGAAAACTTTGTTTCCATCCATGTTTTTAAAAAAACAATTAACAAAGATGTACAGAAGCTCTGAATTTACTGTCTACTTTCATATCTTGCCCTGATAAGTAACCCTGAGCAAGTTACAGACTGTGTGTCTCAGTTACCTCTCTGTGAATATGCAGATAATAGAACCTCTCTCTAAGGTTCTTATGGGAATTAACGGAATTAATCTTAGAAGAGTGTATGGCATATACTAAGCACTGTGTAAAATCTTCTAAATATAATCTTAGAAGAGTATGGCATATACTAAGCATTGTGTAAAGTCTTCTAAATATCAACTAACTTCACTGCACAAACAAAAACAAAAAAAGCTTAGTTCATAAACAAAAAGACAACCCACCATATGATGTACACATGCATGTGAGAGACAGGAGTTCTTAATGATTTTTTGTTGCAATTTGCAAAGTTCATGACATATATAGAAATTAAAATATTTCATTTTATTTTATCTATTTCAATTTGTAACACTTACTAAGATGGAACAAAGAAAGAAAGCCACTGTGTTCAAGAAATTTACTCTATATTAGGTGCATCGAATCTTTCAAAAACTCTGAAATTATGTAACTGTATTTTCTTCCTTATGAAATTTCCTCGTTTGACACCAGCTAAATGGCACTCCTGCCTTGAAAACTGACAGTCTGAACCTGAGCCATTCCATTTTGATCGGTTTCAAATAATAGGGTTCTGAGTAAGATTTTGGTTTTGTTCTCTTCTCCTTAAGCAAAATTGCCACAGATTTAAGGTTTCATTTGAAGAAAAGGCTCCACTGCTCTTACAAAAACAAAACAACAAAAATAGTCAGAAAACCAGTTATCTGTTATCAACAATTTGTATATACTTACATTTTCTAAATCTAGTTAGTACTAGAAAATAAGTTAATATTTTCTTTAGCTCAGGCTCAGCCATCAGAAAAAATGCTGAAACCAAGTTATCCTCCCCAGTTAAGGAAAGCATAGGTCAGAAAACAAGCTACCTACAGTAGACAAAGTATCTTTGCTATGGCTACTTAGAAATGATGATATCCAATTCTGACCTGAGAACAGTTTAACAAAACATTTCAAAGGGGAAACAGAAAAGAAATTCGGTTATCCTGAGTTAAGTCTTCATAGCATACTTCAATAAATTAAGATTGACTAAAGAAGAATAAAAAAGAAATCAAAACAGATTTTTAAAAAAAATTAAGTGGAGCACTAATTTTTTGTTAATGTATACTGTAAGAGAAGTACACGTGGCAAAGTTCAAAGACACCATCATTAACAGGTACTAATGCATAAAATTACACATAACATGATGATCAAATGCCTTTACTAGGAAAGTTTTACAAATAGGGTTTTAAAAATGGTTTACATTGGCCTAATTTTAAAGCATTCCCAAGGGTAACTTCACCCTTATATCCAACAGATATCCATTCAGAAAATGTCAGATATTTTAATCTTAGTTTTCATGGTTTGTGTTACTAATATAGCTGATTTAGTTTTAAGTTGTGTGGTTTTAAAAATGCACATTTAAAACTAATGTAGAAAATTCTGAACATACTTGATTGTGCTTAAAAATGTAATTTTAGTTTTGAAGAAAATTATCACAAATTTTGTTTTCCTTTTATATAACAAAAATAAGTACACCTTGAGTATTCACCATTTTGATTCCTTATATACATCAAAAATACTCTTCAATTAATCACCAATTTAAGCCAATATGACTTTCATTTCAATAATTTGTAAAGTATCTAATTTAGTTTCATAATCAAGGTAGTTCAGTATCACCAACTTGATAAAGCTACAAAATTAATAGAATCTGATCACTGCTTTACAAGGTAATGTGTATTAAAAAACAGAGCATAATTTTATTGTGAAAGCTCTGTACTAAGGTTCTATCAGTGAAGGAGGCAATTTTGATAGAAAAAAAAATCTTCCTAATGATTTCAGTAAAACATACCCTAGTATTCTGAAGCGTTGTAAATTCCCAGCTCAGACAAACCCATATTTAAATGTAAGAACAGGAAACCTTCCTTATTTGGAATTCAGGATTCTTGATTTCTAATATTTCTTGCTTCCTGTTGCTGCTCTATCCTCAATCACAAAGGCTGCCTACAGATAGCCCCTCCTAGAGAGAGAGAAGCAAGTGTTAAAGGTAAGTGCTTACAGACTAAATCTCAGTACCTATGTTTATAAGTAGGTTTGTCTGTTCATGGGAATCTCTAGAACATCTATCTTTCCTGCTAACAAATAGAGCACATTATATAAAACTACAGTTCAAAAGTAAATAAAAAGGATTTAGGAATGCATACCATTAGAGGCTTATTTTAAAAATCTATTCACAAGAACCTATTTTCCTTGTTGATGGTTCTAAGATATCTAGCCTAAACACCTCCAAAGAAAGTGTTCACCTGTAGTCAGACAGACTACATGTTCCCCAGCACACCTAACCAGTTCTTTCAAGACAGTCCTTGTCAATCCACATTAGTAAAACTGTGGTTCTTTCTAACAGCTTTCAAGAATATATTCCTAAAGAACAAATGACTGTCAGTGATAAAATTAACACCAAGAAAGCATTTTATCTAACTACTCAAAGGGAACCTTTTCTTGTTCTTGAAGATACAACAGTTGGGTAAGAATTACTTTTAATTCTAGTTTCTTTTTACATTTAAGTTAATACTTTCTTTCTCTAGAAAAATAAAAACAGTAAATTCCTTAACTACCTGCACAAATCATTTA